CCTCCGGTCATTCAAGAGAGACAGACCTGTCTGTATTAGGGACAGAGTTAGGGCCAGAGAGACTTTAGGGCCACAGAATCGTTACTTAGGGACACAGAATCGTTACTTAGGGACACAGAATCGTTACTCAGGGACACAGAATTGTTATCAGGGACACAGAATTGTTACTCAGGGACACAGATTCGTTACTCAGGGACAGACACAGAATTGTTACTCAGGGACACAGAATTGTTACTGAGGGACACAGAATCGTTACTGAGGGACACAGAATTGTTACTCAGGGACACAGAATTGTTACTCAGGGACACAGAATTGTTACTCAGGGACAGACACAGAATTGTTACTCAGGGACAGACACAGAATTGTTACTCAGGGACACAGAATGTTTACTCAGGGACACAGAATTGTTACTGAGGGACACAGAATCGTTACTGAGGGACACAGAATTGTTACTCAGGGACACAGAATTGTTACTCAGGGACACAGAATTGTTACTGAGGGACACAGAATCGTTACTCAGGGACACAGAATCGTTACTCAGGGACACAGAATCGTTACTCAGGGACACAGAATTGTTACTGAGGGACACAGAATCGTTACTGAGGGACACAGAATCGTTACTCAGGGACACAGAATGTTACTCAGGGACACAGAATCGTTACTCAGGGACACAGAATTGTTACTCAGGGACACAGAATCGTTACTCAGGGACACAGAATTGTTACTCAGGGACACAGAATCGTTACTGAGGGACACAGAATCGTTACTGAGGGACACAGAATTGTTACTCAGGGACACAGAATTGTTACTCAGGGACACAGAATTCGTTTACTCAGGGGACACAGAATTGTTACTCAGGGACACAGAATTGTTACTGAGGGACACAGAATCGTTACTCAGGGACACAGAATTGTTACTCTCAGGGACACAGAATTGTTACTCAGGGACAGACACAGAATTGTTACTCAGGGACACAGAATTGTTACTCAGGGACACAGAATTGTTACTCAGGGACACAGAATTGTTACTCAGGGACACAGAATTGTTACTCAGGGACACACAGAATCGTTACTGAGGGACACAGAATCGTTACTCAGGGGACACAGAATCGTTACTGAGGGACACAGAATCGTTACTCAGGGACACAGAATTGTTACTCAGGGACACAGAATGTTACTCAGGGACACAGAATTGTTACTCAGGGACACAGAATTGTTACTCAGGGACACAGAATCGTTACTGAGGGACACAGAATTGTTACTCAGGGACACAGAATTGTTACTCAGGGGACACAGAATTGTTACTCAGGGACACAGAATTGTTACTCAGGGACACAGAATTGTTACTCAGGGACACAGAATTGTTACTCAGGGACACAGAAATTGTTACTCAGGGACACAGAATTGTTACTCAGGGACACAGAATTGTTACTCAGGGACACAGAATTGTTACTCAGGGACACAGAATTGTTACTCAGGGACACAGAATTGTTACTCAGGGACACAGAATCGTTACTCAGGGACACAGAATGTGTTACTCAGGGACACAGAATTGTTACTCTGGGGACACAGAATTGTTACTGAGGGACACAGAATCGTTACACAGGGACACAGAATTGTTACTCAGGGACACAGAATTGTTACTCAGGGACACAGAATCGTTACTCAGGGACACACAGTTACTCGTTACTCAGGGACACAGAATTGTTACTCAGGGACACAGAATTGTTACTCAGGGACACAGAATTGTTACTCAGGGACACAGAGAATCGTTACTCAGGGACACAGAAATTACTCAGGGACACAGAATTGTTACTCAGGGGACACAGAATTACTCAGGGGACACAGAATTGTTACTCAGGGACACAGAATTGTTACTCAGGGACACAGAATTGTTACTGAGGGACACAGAATTGTTACTCAGGGACACAGAATTGTTACTCAGGGACACAGAATTGTTACTCAGGGACACAGAATTGTTACTCAGGGACACAGAATCGTTACTGAGGGACACAGAATCGTGTTACTCAGGGACACAGAATCGTTACTCAGGGACACAGAATCGTTACTCAGGGACACAGAATCGTTACTGAGGGGGACACAGAATTGTTACTCAGGGACACAGAATTGTTACTCAGGGACACAGAATCGTTACTCAGGGACACAGAATGTTACACAGAATTGTTACTCAGGGACACAGAATCGTTACTCAGGGACACAGAATTGTTACTCAGGGACACAGAATCGTTACTCAGGGACACAGAATTGTTACTCAGGGGACACAGAATTGTTACTCAGGGGACACAGAATTGTTACTCAGGGACACAGAATTGTTACTCAGGGACACAGAATTGTTACTCAGGGACACAGAATTGTTACTCAGGGACACAGAATTGTTACTCAGGGACACAGAATGTTACTCAGGGACACAGACACACAGAATTGTTACTCAGGGGACACAGAATTGTTACTCAGGGACACAGATGTTATCGTTTACTCAGGGACACAGAATCGTTACTGAGGGACACAGAATTCGTTACTCAGGGACACAGAATTGGTTACTCAGGGACACAGAATTGTTACTGAGGGACACAGAATTGTTACTCAGTTACTCAGGGACACAGAATTGTTACTCAGGGACACAGAAATTGTTACTCAGGGTTACTCAGGGACACAGAATTGTTACTCAGGGAGGGACACAGAATTGTTACTCAGGGAGGGACACAGAATTGTTACTCAGGGACACAGAAATTGTTACTCAGGGACACAGAATCGTTACTCAGGGACACAGAATCGTTACTCAGGGACACAGAATTGTTACTCAGGGGACACAGAATTGTTACTCAGGGACACAGAATTGTTACTCAGGGACACAGAATGTTACTGAGGGACACAGAATCGTTACTCAGGGACACAGAATCGTTACTCAGGGACACAGAATTGTTACTCAGGGACACAGAATCGTTACTCAGGGACACAGAATCGTTACTGAGGGACACAGAATTGTTACTCAGGGACACAGAATCGTTACTCAGGGACACAGAATTGTTACTCAGGAGGGACACAGAATCGTTACTCAGGGACACAGAATTGTTACTCAGGGACACAGAATCGTTACTGAGGGACACAGAATCGTTACTCAGGGACACAGAATCGTTACTCAGGGACACAGAATCGTTACTCAGGGACACAGAATCGTTACTCAGGGACACAGAATTGTTACTGAGGGACACAGAATTGTTACTCAGGGACACAGATTGTTACTCAGGGACACAGAATTGTTACTCAGGGACACAGAATTGTTACTCAGGGACACAGAATCGTTACTCAGGGACACAGAATCGTTTACTCAGGGACACAGAATTGTTACTCAGGGACACAGAATTGTTACTCAGGGACACAGAATTGTTACTCAGGGACACAGAATTGTTACTCAGGGACACAGAATTGTTACTCAGGGACACAGAATTGTTACTCAGGGACACAGAATTGTTACTCAGGGACACAGAATCGTTACTCAGGGACACAGAATCGTTACTGAGGGACACAGAATCGTTACTCAGGGACACAGAATCGTTACTCAGGGACACAGAATCGTTACTCAGGGACAGAATTTTTACTCAGGGACACAGAATCGTTACTCAGGGACACAGAATCGTTACTCAGGGGACACAGAATTGTTACTCAGGGACACAGAATCGTTACTCAGGGACACAGAATCGTTACTGGGACACAGAATCGTTACTCAGGGACACAGAATCGTTACTCAGGGACACAGAATCGTTACTCAGGGACACAGAATTGTTTACTCAGGGACACAGAATCGTTACTCAGGGACACAGAATCGTTACTCAGGGACACAGAATCGTTACTCAGGGACACAGAATTGTTACTCAGGGGACACAGAATCGTTACTCAGGGACACAGAATCGTTACTCAGGGACACAGAATTCGTTACTGAGGGACACAGAATGTTACTGAGGGACACAGAATAGTTACTCAGGGACACAGAATCGTTACTCAGGGACACAGAATCGTTACTCAGGGACACAGAATCGTTACTCAGGGACACAGAATTTTACTCAGGGACACAGAATTGTTACTCAGGGACAGACACAGAATCGTTACTCAGGGACACACACATCGTTATCGTTAGGGACACACAGAATCGTTACTCAGGGACACAGAATTGTTACTGAGGGACACAGAATCGTTACTCAGGGACACAGAATCGTTACTGTTACTCAGGGACACAGAATCGTTACTCAGGGACACAGAATCGTTACTCAGGGACACAGAATCGTTACTGACACAGGGACACAGAATCGTTACTCAGGGGGCTCACACAGAATCGTTACTCAGGGACACAGAATCGTTGAATTAAAAAGTATGTCAGACAACACGCAGAGGAGGCAGAGGAGGCAATGTTTCAGGAGCGAGCAGACGTGGCAGCAGCCAGAAGGAAGGGGTTGAGGCAGCACTAGTCGCAGCCAGAGGCCAGTGCTCCGGGTGTCATCCAGCGGTCGTGTCTCCACCGACAACCCTGCCGTCATCGATTGGTTGGCTCGGTCGTCTTCCTCTTCCCAGGTCACCTCTGACACCTACAGCCAACGGTCGGTGGGTACGTCAGACACAGAACCGTTAGTTGGCATGGCCCGGGAGCAAGCCCACTGAAATCACGTGTCCTCTACCTGCCCCCTGTCCTTTGGTGTTCCCTCACCAAGCGAAGTATCGCATGCTGTGGGCTCAGCCCCACTGTACAGTGAGGAAGAGCTAACAGAGGGCGGTCAGGAACGGGGGGAGACATCCGCCTCTAGCAGCAGCCAGGCGAAGAAGTACTGGCGAGGAGAGTGGCTCGGTAGCCGGTCTAGAGACAGGTCTGTCTCCTGACCCACACGCAGCCGAGGGGGCTAGTAGTGAGGCGGAGACCCCAATTGATGATGATGCGGCTGATCGCACTTGGCAGCTCGTCGTCGTCATCTGCCAGGCCCGTAATCTGCCATGGGCCCCCGTACCGACTCCTCATGCTGCTGCCAGGCCTGTAATCTGTCATGGGCCCCTGTACCACCTCCTCATGCTGCTGCCAGGTCCAGAGTGTGTCATGGGTCCCTGTACGGCCTCCCATTGCTGCTGTCTCCATCGCCACACTCTGCCATGTGCCACTTTCAGGTCTCCTCACACTGCTGGTGGGTTCCATTTTGTCATAGGGTGCTGGCAGATTACGGGCCTCCCATTGCTGCGGCTGCCAGGCCCGTAATCTGCCATGGGCCCCCGTACCGACTCCTCATGCTGCTGCCAGGCCCGTAATCTGTCATGGGCCCCTGTACCGCCTCCTCATGCTGCTGCCAGGTCCAGAGTGTGTCATGGGTCCCTGTACGGCCTCCCATTGCTGCTGTCTCCATCGCCACACTCTGCCATGTGCCACTTTCAGGTCTCCTCACACTGCTGGTGGGTTCCATTTTGTCATAGGGTGCTGGCAGATTACGGGCCTCCCCATTGCTGCTGCCAGGCCCGTAATCTGCCATGGGCCCCCGTACCGACTCCTCATGCTGCTGCCAGGCCCGTAATCTGTCATGGGCCCCTGTACCCCCTCCTCATGCTGCTGCCAGGTCCAGAGTGTGTCATGGGTGCCACTTTCAGGTCTCCTCACACTGCTGGTGGGTATTACGGGCCTCCCTGCTGCTGCCAGGCCCGTAATCTGCCATGGGGCCCCCGTACCGACTCCTCATGCTGCTGCCAGGCCCGTAATCTGTCATGGGCCCCTGTACCGCCTCCTCATGCTGCTGCCTGGTCCAGAGTGTGTCATGGGTCCCTGTACGGCCTCCCATTGCTGCTGTCTCCATCGCCACACTCTGCCATGTGCCCTTTCAGGTAACTGCTGGTGGGTTCCATTTTGCCATGGGCCCCCGATTACCGACTCCTCATTGCTGCTGCCAGGCCCGTAATCTGCCATGGGCCCCCGTACCGACTCCTCATGCTGCTGCCAGGCCCGTAATCTGTCATGGGCCCCGTACCGCCTCTCATCTGCTGCTGCCAGGTCCAGAGTGTGTCATGGGTCCCTGTACGGCCTCCCATTGCTGCTGTCTCCATCGCCACACTCTGTCATGTGCCACTTTCAGGTCTCCTCACACTGCTGGTGGGTTCCATTTTGTCATAGGGTGCTGTAGGCCTCCCATTGCTGCTGCCAGGCCCGTAATCTGCCATGGGCCCCCGTACCGACTCCTCATGCTGCTGCCAGGCCCGTAATCTGTCATGGGCCCCTGTACCGCCTCCTCATGCTGCTGCCAGGTCCAGAGTGTGTCATGGGTCCCTGTACGGCCTCCCATTGCTGCTGTCTCTCCATCGCCACACTCTGCCATGTGCCACTTTCAGGTCTCCTCACACTGCTGGTGGGTTCCATTTTGTCATAGGGTGCTGGCAGATTACGGGCCTCCCATTGCTGCTGCCAGGCCCGTAATCTGCCATGGGCCCCCGTACCGACTCCTCATGCTGCTGCCAGGCCCGTAATCTGTCATGGGCCCCTGTACCGCCCTCCTCATGCTGCTGCCAGGTCCAGAGTGTGTCATGGGTCCCTGTACGGCCTCCCATTGCTGCTGTCTCCATCGCCCACACTCTGCCATGTGCCACTTTCAGGTCTCCTCACACTGCTGGTGGGTTCCATTTTGTCATAGGGTGCTGGCAGATTACGGGCCTCCCATTGCTGCTGCCAGGCCCGTAATCTGCCATGGGCCCCCTGTACCGACTCCTCATGCTGCTGCTGCCAGGTGTGTCCCGTCCCGTAATCTGTCATGGGCCCCTGTACCGCCACCTCTCATGCTGCTGCCAGGGTCCAGAGTGTGGTCATGGGTCCCTGTACGGCCTCCCATTGCTGCTGCCAGGCCCGTAATCTGCCATGGGCCCCGTACCGACTCCTCATGCTGCTGCCAGGGCCCGTAATCTGTCATGGGCCCCTGTTACCGCCTCCTCATGCTGCTGCCAGGTCCAGAGTGTGTCATGGGTCCCTGTACGGCCTCCCATTGCTGCTGTCTCCATCGCCACACTCTGCCATGTGCCACTTTCAGGTCTCCTCACACTGCTGGTGGGTTCCATTTTGTCATAGGGTGCTGGCAGATTACGGGCCTCCCATTGCTGCTGCCAGGCCCGTAATCTGCCATGGGCCCCCGTACCGACTCCTCATGCTGCTGCCAGGCCCGTAATCTGTCATGGGCCCCTGTACCGCCTCCTCATGCTGCTGCCAGGTCCAGAGTGTGTCATGGGTCCCTGTACGGCCTCCCATTGCTGCTGTCTCCATCGCCACACTCTGCCATGTGCCACTTTCAGGTCTCCTCACACTGCTGGTGGGTTCCATTTTGTCATAGGGTGCTGGCACATTACGGGCCTCCCATTGCTGCTGCCAGGCCCGTAATCTGCCATGGGCCCCCGTACCGACTCCTCATGCTGCTGCCAGGCCCGTAATCTGTCATGGGCCCCTGTACCTCCTCCTCATGCTGCTGGTGGGTCCAGAGTGTGTCATGGGTCCCTGTACGGCCTCCCATTGCTGCTGCCAGGGCCCGTAATCTGCCATGGGCCCCCGTTCCGACTCCTCATGCTGCTGCCAGGCCCGTAATCTGTCATGGGCCCCTGTACCGCCTCCTCATGCTGCTGCCAGGTCCAGAGTGTGTCATGGGTCCCTGTACGGCCTCCCATTGCTGCTGTCTCCATCCCCACACTCTGCCATGTGCCACTTTCAGGTCTCCTCACACTGCTGGTGGGTTCCATTTTGTCATAGGGTGCTGGCAGATTACGGGCCTCCCATTGCTGCTGCCAGGCCCGTAATCTGCCATGGGCCCCCGTACCGACTCCTCATGCTGCTGCCAGGCCCGTAATCTGTCATGGGCCCCTGTACGCCTCCTCATGCTGCTGCCAGGTCCAGAGTGTGTCATGGGTCCCTGTACGGCCTCCCATTGCTGCTGTCTCCATCGCCACACTCTGCCATGTGCCACTTTCAGGTCTCCTCACACTGCTGGTGGGTTCCATTTTGTCATAGGGTGCTGTTACGGGCCTCCCATTGCTGCTGCCAGGCCCGTAATCTGCCATGGGCCCCCGTACGACTCCTCATGCTGCTGCCAGGCCCGTAATCTGTCATGGGCCCCTGTACTGCCTCCTCATGCTGCTGCCAGGTCCAGAGTGTGTCATGGGTCCCTGTACGGCCTCCCATTGCTGCTGTCTCCATCGCCACACTCTGCCATGTGCCACTTTCAGGTCTCCTCACACTGCTGGTGGGTTCCATTTTTTCATAGGGTGCTGTATGGCCTCCCATTGCTGCTGCCTCCACCGCCACACTGTGGCTCCACACTCTGGTTTTGGCCCCGTGACTGCCCAAATGAGTGAAGTGTGCGGTGATTCTAAGATCGACGGCACTCATCTGCATGTCATACTGACTGACAGTATTATTTCTCTTCCCCAGCAGACTCCAAGGGCATTTAAATTAAAGGTACAGTGTTCTGCACTAATATAAAGGCTCTCTGAAGCCTAGAAACACCCTTTTTATAAGTTAAATTCGCAGCGAATATATTCGACTCGAATCAAATTTATTCCGCGAATTCGCCGAATCAGCCGAATCGAATTTTTGAATAATTCGCTCATCTCTACTCTTAAAGTATAAAAAATAAAAAACATGTAGTCCCATACACCAGCCAATCGTCATGCAATCCTCAATCGATATATCAGTTCTAGTCAGAACAGCACTTTGACTTCCTTCCAGCGTGAATAAACACCACCATGCCCTTCACCACACCTCATGGGTATCCCCTCGCCTTATATCATGGACCCCGCTGCATAAGGAGGGACACTTGCGCTTTTCTTCTTTATTTGAGACCACGATCCCCTTCAGCATTCACTTGGTCATTACCGATCTCCCAGGAATAGGTATATTAAAAGGAAGAAAAGAAACATCCAATAGTGCAATAGTGCAGACCGCTAGTTTATTTCCATTAGAAAATTAAAATTCCACTCACATGTTAAAAAGTTCATAGAGGCATGTAACAGGCTATTTAGCATCCTTGACTTTCCAAAAAGGCGTGTAAGCTTCACCCAGCATGATGAGGTCACTGCCCATCTGGGACACGTTGCCGAGTCGGTTTTCTTAAAGGCTCAGGCTAGTCAACAGCACCAGCGCTCTTATATATCTATGGCACACTGATTGTCATAGCAGCCTTTACCACACCCCTGCCGCCATCTTTCTGGAGACCACATGCTGCTCACAAACTAACTTCTAAGCAAATAAGGCATGAAATAAGAGCTGTTCTAATCAGAATGTCAGAGACATAGTCTAGTTCTTGTGGCAAATTAACAAAGGTAAAATGTCATCTGATTAAGAGTCGAATGAGCAGTGCACTAATAGCTTACAATGACATAAAAGACAGCAAATAAAAAATGGCATATATAAAACACAGTAAATAATTAAATACTTTAAATAAAAAATAAAAGCTATTACTTGAAAAAGTCATGGATATATGGCGTATGCTCTTCAATTGCATTATATATATCTATATATATATCTATATAGATATATATATATATATATATATATATGAATTTATATATTAAATGATATCCTATTCCTATAAATAACTAAATATATATATATAATTATTATTATTCATATACAGGACTTATATAGCGCTTCAATACAAGAGGGATTAGAGGGCCCTGCTACTTGGAGCTTACAATCTAGGAGGGAGGGGATAGTGGTACAAGAGGTAATTAGCTGTGGGGGATGGAGTGGTTGGAGAGTGGGGGATTCCAGTAGTTAGCCGGGGTCGGGGTAGGCTTCCCCGAAGAGATGAGTTTTCAGAGTGTGCAGAGTAGGCGATAGCCTAATAGTTTGGGGTAGGGAGTTCCAGAGGATGGGTGAAGCCCGTGAGAAATCCTGGAGATGAGCATGGGAGAGGGGGACAAGGGAGCTAGAGATTAGGAGGTCTTGCGAGGAGCGGAGAGTACGGTTTGGGTGGTATTTAGAGACAAGGTTGGTGATGTAGTTAGGGGCAGTGTTATGAACGGCTTTATACATCAGTGTTAGTGTTTTGAATTTTATCCGCTGGGCAATTGGGAGCCAGTGGAGGGATTGGCAGAGAGGGGTGGCAGATACGGAACGGTTAGTAAGGTAAATGAGTCTGGCAGCAGCATTCATGATGGACTGGAGTGGGGATATAGCCTGCGATGAGGTAGGGCAGTGAGGAGGGAGTTACAATAGTGAAGGCGAGATATAATAAGGGAGTGAATGAGTTGCTTAGTGGTTTCCGGGATTAGGAACGGTCGTATCTTGGAGATGTTGCGGAGGTGAAGTCTACTTGAGTTTGTCAGTGATTGGACCTGGGGCTGAAAGGACAGATTGGAGTCTAGGATTACACCTAGTACCCTGGTGTGAGGGGTGGGACTGATGGTAGTGTTGTTGATCTTGATGGAGAAGTCAGGGGAGGCGGCACGGTCTGGAGGGAATAATAGAAGCGCAGTTTTGGAAAGGTTGAGATTGAGGAAGTGGAGTGACATCCAGTCCAATATGTCATTTAGTAGACTG